TTTTTTGTTTTCTGTTTTTTTATTGATCACTGTTAGTGCTGCTGAATAATACAGCCCTTTAGGTCGGATTTTGGGTGTAGAGGCCAGAGGTTTATCAGATGCTAGAGGATGTGAACAAACCGTTTCTGCAAATGAAAAGGGGAAAAGAAAGAATGAAGGCAGACAGGGAGGTTCAGAGTTGGGGTAATAGGAAAGCAGGGAGGGGCACAGTGGCCCAGTAAGGCCTAAAGAGACTGCACACTTGCAGTTCCAAAAACAGCGGGACAAGTGAGGTACTGAATGAAGCTGATAGCACTTAATAAAGATGGCAACGAAGTCATGATTTCCCCATAACCATGATGGCTGTCAGTCATGTTAGTCAAGATGGCAGTGAAATCGTGAGAATCCCCATATCAACATGGCGGCTAGCCAGTCCAGTGGCCTGGTGGCTGGCAGTTTAAATCATCTGAGTCCTCGATTTAAAACTGTCCACTGGGCCCAGTGGAGCAGTGGCGCGCAGAGGCGAGCAATTGCTCACAAATGGTCTGGTGTGATTGATTGTGAGCCAGAGCAGATGAATATGGCTCTGGTTTGTGGTACCAGGAGAGAGAGGAAATTTGTTGTGAGCTGGCAAGCAGAAGGGATTCCAGTTGCCTAGACAGACGCTGCCAGAAGAACCCTGCCCAGTCTCAGCACCAGTGTGATCATACGTAAACTAGGCAGCAGGTGTGATAAAAGAGAGGCAGTGGGAGAACACAGGAGAAGAGAAAGAGGGATGGATGGAGCACCCCAGACCTTTATATCTAGAGCACGCATGTTGTCATGCACGTGATGACATCAGAGGTTGCTAGGCAACCTAGCCCAACAGATAGGATGAGTTATAAATCTTTACCAAGTTCTTTAGATGATTTTATGTTCAATTTGAAAATACTGGCTTAGACCTTGTTTTAGTCACTTCATATCCTGTGAAGAGGCACCATGACCAAAAGTATTTAATGGGGGGCTGCTTACAGTTTTAGAGGTTAGTCTGTTATCTCCATGTGGAGGGCATAGTGGCCTGCATGGTGCTAGAGCAGAGACAGACTGGACACTGAGCTGGGTGTGGGCTTCTGAATTGTGAAAGCCCCCACCCCCAGTGACATACTTCCAACAAGGCCATACCTCCTAACTCTTTTACTCATGTCAAAGAGTCCACTCTCTGATGACTAAGCATTTAAGTATAAGAATGTATGAGGAACATTCTTACTTTTCTTTTAAAGTGGGGTCATTCTGGTAAGTAAAAATGGGCTAAATGTGCTATCTTTGAGTTGAGTTCTTTTTTTTTATTATTGACAATTAAAATTGCTTAGATGCATAAAGATGGTTGTATTTCCTTTTAGAAACATTTGATGCTTGGGTTAGTATGTTCTGTTAAGTTGGAGAGACTGCTCAGGACTCCGTGTCTCAGGCCTTTTCCCTGGGTTGGGTTAAAAAATTAAGGTCAACTCCAACAGTCATACGGTTTTGTTGTGTGGTCATGCTTTTTTATTCTAATAGAATCCGAAATTATTCATCAGTGTCTTCTGAGAATTCAGAATGGTGCATGGGATTTTCAAAGAGTACTTTTAGTAGGATCTTTAGCTTCTGAATTTTTTTGAATTTTTAAAATTTATTTCATATTAATTTGTATATGTCTGTGTGGTTCTTTTCAAGACAGGGTTTCTCTGTAGCCTTGACTGTCCTGGACTCACTCTGTAGACCAGGCCCGTAACTCTCAGATCGCTTGCCTCTGCCTCCCCAAGTGCTGGCATTGCAGGTATGTGCCACCATGCCTGGCATTGTAGGTTTGTGCCATCATGCCTGGCATTGTAGGTGTGTGGCTTTTTTTTTTTTTTTTTTGAGATACTATAATTATGTCATTTCCCATCTCCCTTCCCTCCACACCCTCCCATATACCTCTCCTTCAGATGCATAGCCCTGTTCTCATTAAGTGTTGCGTGCATATATGTAGTGTGTGTTCCTAAATGCAGCTTGCTCAGTGTGGGTGTTACCTGCCTACCCTGCGTGTTTTCGGGGTTGACCGATTGATGTTGGATACCTAGTTGGTATATTCTTTTTCTGCTCTCAGTTTTCCTTAGTTGCCTGGGGTTCTTTGTGGAGGGTTGGGGCCTCGTGGTCATCCTGTGCACTTGGCGCTGTTGGTTCATCCTGGCTCAGCACATGCTTAGACGGGATCTACCCAGAAGCAGTGGAGGTAGGCCAGGCAGTGGTGGAGGAACTGCACACTGGTTGATCGTGGCCACACCAGTTTACCTCCTCACCAGGCCTAGCTGAGAGTCACGTGGGGTCTAGCCTCCTGGCCAGCATCTATTTGTTTTCTGTCTAGAGTAAAAAGAATCTCAGTGTAGTTTTGATTGTCATTTGAGTGATGGCTTTTAAATTTCTGTCATTTTTTGATGTATTCTCCGGATTGAGAATTTTACAGAGGTGTTTCTGATGTGTATTTATTTAAAGAAGAACAACAGTCTTCATACTGGGAACAGTGTGTCTGGATCATCCCCACCCCGCCCCTGCCGCCCTTCCCTCTTAGAGTCCTCTCCTTTTAAGCTAGAGACAGCACAGGCATCCGCAGTCCTGACTTAAGTGACTTTCAGTGACTTAAGTGACAGGCAAGTAAACTAATGACAAGCCTAGCCCTTTATGCTAGGGATGTGGCTAAGTTACTAGGATGCTTGCCAAGTGTGAATGAAACCATAGTAAGTCTCAGCACTCCGCAAGACAGGCATGGTACCCACACTTGTAGTCCCAGCGCTGAGGGTGGAAGCAGGAGGATCAGAAGTTCAAGCTCTTTATTTGCATGGACTTAGAAGAATTTAACATTCATAGATAAACCTGTCTTCAAAGAAATTTAAACATTGTTTCATTATAAAAATGTAACATTGACTTTATTACAAGTGGTTGGTCTAGATAAAAATTGACTATGCGCTGATCTCAGTGGTGCACACCTGTAATCCCAGAACTCAGGGAGGCAGAGGCAATCTGTAGGGACGCATTGTTGAGCCCAGTCACCAAGGCTGTTCCTTACTCCTTCAGACCCTGGCTCCCTGTTGCTGTCTCCCTCATGCTGCCTCTGAACCTTTACCGACCTTATTTACCATGCTCGTGAAACTCTCCTTCAGTCGGGGAGCGGTATGGATCGACCCTTCTCTAACTAACATTTTAAATCCATAAATTATGTCAGATTACAAAGGACCCTGTACTCCCAGTCCTGCTGAGTTGTTGTTAGAATCACTGCAGCTTGTCCGGCTGACATCTTTACTGACCTCAGTTATCTTGGGGAGAGATGAGAAAAGTACTTTAAAACTGTTCTGTGACTGACTGACTGATTGGTTGGTTCTGTGTACACATGTGTGCAAAAGTACACGTGCAGGGCAGGTGTGCCCCAGTGAGTATGCAGAGACCAGAGGACAGCTTGCAGGAGTGCTTCTCCGTCATCAGTTCCGGGCTTGAGCTCAGAGTTAGCAGGCTTGGCAGCAGTGACTTGTATTCAGCCTGCCGGTAGAGAACAGCAGTACTTTTGTCATCTTGTAACAGGGTCTTTCCATCAAAGTTGTCTTCTCTTACCTTGATTTAATTTTAATTTTGTGACATTTCCATGTTATGTACAGTTTTTAAATTTTCATGGAATACATACAAAAAATATTGTGGGAGGATAATTTTTGGAGGACCTGGCTAAAAGGAAGAATTTGCTTTGATAAAAACTTTGACGATAACTCAGTAGTTAAGGTCCCTGGGTGGTTTCTAAAAGGGAAAGTAGTAGCTCAGGACACCCCAAGATCAAGTTCTCAGCACAAAGGAGATTTATTTGTCCCAGAGGGTCAAAGGGCAGGAAATAAGAGACAAAGACAAAAGGTAGAGGATGAGGGAGAAGGGGAAGGGAGCAAGGGAGAGGGGTATTTGTCCTGGAGAACAAAGGACTGCCCCTGGATAGAGAGGGGACAGAGTGGCCCATGGGAAAATGGGCAGTTTATAAAGTTTGTCCTGTGTTAGGATGAGGCTTTTCATTTTAAGTGGACATGTCAACTAGGTGAGCCAAAGGGGGCTTTTGATTGCTAGACTTCAATACTTTGGTAGCTGGATCTTGGTAGTCAGTCTCACGATGAGGAAATGGCCAAATAAGTGAATAGTCCTTGGGGCTAGCTTTAGGAATGCAACCTAATGGTTGGTAGCAAAGCTGAGGGAATGGGGGAAAGGGCAAGGCCTGCCAGAGCAATGCTCGGCTCGCCACGCTCAAGCTGGCCAGAGTCCTTTCGGGGTCTGTTCCCAGCGTCATAAAAACACGCTTTCCACTATTTGGATTGCACATTTAACTTATTTTTCTTTGAAAATCCTTATATGACTTAGAAGAATTCCTAGGAAATTTTTAATTATACTTGAAAAAACTGGGTGTGGGGAGTGCATGCTTTAATTTAAGCCCAGCACTGTAGAGGCAGAGACACATGAGTCTCTGAGTTCAAGGTCAGCCTGGTGTATATAGCAAGTTCCAGGATAGCCAGGGCTACATCCCCTTCTCAGACAAAACAACAACAAAACCCAAAACAAACAAACAAACAAAAAAAAAAGAATTCTTGAAAAGAAAACCTTTGCTTATCAAGGCATTGTCCTGTGGGGTGGAATTTAGCAAAAACAAAACCAGACACTTTATATAGCCAACCCCCCCCCCCATAATCTTGGAAAATTACGTTGGAAAACATATTTGACTCTATGCATGTGAATTTTCTTTTGCTTTAAGAACATCCATATTCCCATTTGCTGTCTTAGATCCTTGGGTGTCAGCCCAAGCTCCTGCTTGGTCACAGGGCTCTTGAAGAGAGCTCTGCTGCAAATGTCTGATAGTTTTGGTCCTTTGGAGTTGAAGTTTCTGCATAGCTGCAATTGTAGTCCTTCACATAGTTTTCTTTTACTTCTTCTTTTCTTTTTAATGGTAGGCTTATCTCCAGTGTTAAGGGACTTACAGTGCTGTGTTGTCTGTTTGTATCCAGGCCAAAACAACTTCATGAGATTCCAGCCTTTTACTGTCCTGACAAAAACAAGGTGAATTTCATTCCTAAAAGCGGCTCTGCTTTCTGCCTTGTGAGTATCCTCAAGCCGCTTCTCCCCACACCAGATCTCACCCTCAAGGGCTCTGGTCACAGCCTGACCGTTACCACTGGCATGACCACCACTTTGCTCCAGCCTATCTCCATGGCCTCCCTGTCCACAAACACAGAGCAAGACCGCGTGTCTCGAGGGACCAGTACAGTCCTGCCGTCCGCCTCCCTCCACGCCCCACCGGAACCCATTGAGGAAGCTGAGGGATAGGCCCAGCCTATGTTCGGTGGGTCCTGGGAGCTGAGGACCCCGCAGATCGCTTGACTGTGATAGCATCGTGTCCTCCTGGTTGGCTGTGAAGTGCTTTGGCTCTCCAGTGATGTGTGACAGCGAGCGCGTCCCCTGTGAGTCTGCCCTGCGCATGAAGGCCAGCGGTGCTTCGCCTGTCTGGCCTTGAAGCACTGGCTGAAACAGTCTCTTCTTTGCTTTTGGAGGAACAAAATCACGTTTTCATTTGTTTTCAAATTAGACTTGTTTAAAAACAAACACAAAACCTGATCCCTACAAACATGATTTCTGAAGGGAGATGTGATTGATGCTGCAAGAAAACCATCTTTTATATGAAAATGACTATTTTATAATACCAATGTTACATTTTCTGAAAGTAGCAAGCAGGATGTTCAAACGATCCTTTGGTGGCCTCTGTTTCTTGTTTCCCTTTTCTAGATGTTGCTTTTCTCAGCTGTTTTCAGCTTTGGGACCAAAGGGATTGTTGACATTCCCCAGCAATGTCAGTCATGACTATGTTCTCCTCCTAGGTAAGAGTTGATAGGTAAATGCATCAAACCAAGTATATATAAAAAGATAAAAAGCAATATCCGTATATTATGTGATTTATGTTTTTGATGTCAGAAGTTTGTGATTTGGGTGAAGTATTTGTAAACTGCTGTTCTCTGCACTCCTGTTCATGTGCTCAGTGCAGGCTGAAGACAGGTGGCTTCAACACGGGAGCTTGGGTTAGCAGTCAGTGAGCCAACAGAAACTCAAGTGTGGATTGTTAGCTAGGAGTGTGGCGCTCTCTGGTTTTCTGTGAACTGTGTGTCACGTGGTTACCCTCCTTTGCCGGGTTTCATTCTACCTTGAATCATCACTGTATCATAGCCCCAAGAGACCCTGAAATGGCTGTGCATGGATTTCCTCCTCTGCTTTTGTGGTGGTGTTGTCTTGTGGATTTGGTCAGGGTTCGTAGTTTGCCAGGAGTGTGATCCATTGAGTAGCAATTGGGAGCCACAGGAATGATGTTCTTTATGGGTTAGCACTGAGATTTGCTGCCTACAGATTTTGCTAGTTTCTCTCCAACGTTCTACACACTGGGGAAAGAGGTAAGAGGTTTGGAGCTTAAACAACAGGTACCTTTGGAAAAATCTAATCTATACAGTTTTGGATTTGGGCTCTTCTGGTAACCATTGCCAGTGTCACAGGACAGTATTTAATTTCTAGGTATGTGATAATAAAATTAAGGAGCCACTCTTTAGAAATTAATTCCATCAGTGTTGGTAAAGCATTGTTTTCATATATGCTAACTTAATGCTGTTACATACAGCAGGCAGACAGTGTAAACCCTACATGGGAGGGCTACCATTTTGAAGGCTAATTCCATCCACTAGGCCAGGCTTCGCTCCATCCAGGGAAACCAAGAGATAGCAGGGCACCTCCTGCAAGCTGTTTGTTACCTTAGATCACCTAGCAATTTAAAGTAGGCCTTACTTAATTTCAAATGAGGATAATTTAGGCTAATCAGATAAATTTGAACATCTAAGAGAATCCATCAGTTTTTGGTTGGGAAAACTGATAGATTTTGGTACTTTTGCCACCCAAAGCTTACTCCCTGGGAACTGGTAAATCGTAGCTTCTAAGTTACTTTAGACTTCTTGGTTGGTGGTTGGATTTTATTTTTCAGTTTTGGGGAGTTTTTTTGTACCTTGATTTCTCGCCTTGTCATGCCTTTCTACTTTACTATTTTACCACTATCAGAAGTCTGGAAGAAAGGCAGATGACAGTCCATTGAGTTGATCTGAAGGGAGGAGGAGGCGTCTTGTTTGTTTGTTTTTGAGAAGACTCTCTTAGGTAGCCCTGGCTGGCCTGGAACTCAGAGATGTACCTGCCTCTGCCTCCCAAGTCCTGGGATTAAAGGCGTGTGCCACCACGCCCTACTTGTCTTCTTTTTAATCCTGTGGGTGTCCCCTGAAACTTGAATTCTGTTAAATTTGTGTTGTTTTTCCTTTGTCATACACCACCTCGTCCCTGGCTTTACACGTAGAGTGTCACTCTGTGGTAGACAGGTCTTCCCTGTTCTGTTACTCTAGTTTGGCAGATTGGCATCTCTCTACAGTTGCAGGCATCCGTGAAGTAGCACAGAGAGGGACTAACTTCAGGTCAGCATCTGCCCCTACAAGTAGAACTTTGCTCTGAGGTCTGACTGGAAGAAGATTGTGAATGGGCGAGTAAATGAGTTCTATAGTGGCCAAACACTGAGTTTTGGAGAAACAGAGCCTGAGATCTGAAGAAAAACAAAACAGAAAGGCTAGGTCCCCAAACAACCCAACTGCCAGGGCCAAAGGGCTAATTTTTAAGCATATGAGCTTTATTGCAGTCTTAAAATATATTAACCATAGGTCCACCTAGCTATTTTATTTAACTCTCAATTCCCAGGTGGTTGGTTTTAAAAATGGGTCTACTCTGAGTAGGGTGGGTGTGACTGTATTGACAAACCATACTCCGTAATTATGGTTATTCTGTAGAAACTGTACAGCGGTAGAGTAGCTTCAGTGGAAATACAGATGTTTTTTTTCCAGTGCTGGGGATCAAACCCAGGGCCTCGTGCATGCTAAACAAGTACTGTGTCACTGGCTTATTTCCCCAGTCCCTAATTTAAATTTTTAAGTAAAAGAATTTACTTCCATTGCAGTAAAAGTGGGTGGCATGTAGTTTTGGCCAAAGGAGCTGTTTCTCCTAGTTATTTGTCCATCGTAGTTACTCTGTACCCCCAGGCAGTTTCTTCCATGTGATGATAAACTTCAGGTTTACTGCTTCTGATACGGTAAGTCTGTTACTTATCATTCATTGCTTTATGGACAGTTGTGTTTAAAAAAATAGTTTTACTTTGGTTAAATATGGTGTGGATGTCAAAATTCATTGTGCACCAGATTCTTCATTTTGTTTAGTGTTTCTTAGACCTGGGACCATAACCAGGTCTGCCTCTCAGAAGATGCTGTTGCTCACTGGGTGCCCCTGGCAACAGGGACAGGCTGCTTTTTATCTTTATTTTTTTGTTTTGAATAAAGAAACAGTTGGCTTTTCCTAGAAGAAGGTCTTAAAAGAATGGCAGAATGCATAGCTTTCTCTCCGTCTGGGATTTGAACTGAGATGTTACGGTTTTCTTTCAAGGAAACTAAAGTAAAATTGTCACTAGTAACTTTGTCAAGTTGAGATTCATTCCTTAACGTTCCGTTTGGGGCGTGTCAGAAGTGGACTAATGGAAGTGCTGAATTTGCAAAATAAAGCCAAGATACTTAACTCTGCACTTTAAGGTTCCTGGTCACAGAGCGACTCTCCACAGTCTGCGTTTATACAGCCCTGTTGGGGACATACAACTTATGTTTTCTAAGCTCTGCATCTTTGTCTCTGTTGATGTAAATCTTTTTAATGCAGTTTTTTAAAGTTATAACAAAGTTCTGCCCCGAGAAAACAGCATTTCCAGTGATAAGTTGTTGTGGACTGTGTCCCTGCCCCTGAGCCCTCACTGCTGCGTCACAGGGACTACAACTTCCATGTTCAAATAAAGTCTGTTGTTCTGCAGCTTTTTCCTGTGTATCTTTGTGACTATTTCTGCAGATTCGAATTGTATGTATTTTTTGCATTTCTAGCCTGATGTAGCATAGGTAGAGTATATTTCCTTCCACAAACTGACAGGCAGATACAGTCACACTCTGCCGTTTAGGATGCCCTGACTGCTGTAGAACTTAGCGTAGCCTGTCCTTGTGGCAAGTGCGAAGCAAACACGGGCAGACGAGCACACTGACGGGTCCCATGTTACACCTTGCTCAGCCGGGGAGGTGAGGGCTCTGTACGTGCAGGCGGCCTTTCTTTTTTCAGTTATTGTGAGATCTGATTGGTCTGGGGTGTTGAGTCCACGTCTGTGGAATAGAGCTGGCCAGGTCAGCCCTGTGGAGATTGATGTGTAATCACCTAGGAGGAGGCAGGCTTAGTAGGGGAAAGGGGCTTGATCATCAGATGTTAACACTGAAGGATCTATTTCTGAGCCAGGCATGGTAGCACACACCGCAATCCTGGCACTTGGAAGACTGAGAAAGGATTACAAATTAGGGCCAGCCTGGGCTGGGATGGATTTGAAATTGTTTCAAAAGATAAAGAAGACAGCTCAACTGTTAAGAGCATTGAGTTCAGTTCCCAAACCTACATGGTGTGGCTTCCAGCCAAACTGACACCTCGGAACTGACCTCAGCTGTGGTGGCACACACCTTTAAGTCCCAGAGCTCAGAGGCAGAGGCAGGTGGGTCTCTTGAGTTCAAGGCCAGCCTGGTCTACAGAGTGAGTTCTAAGATAACCAGGGCTACATAGAGAATCCCTGCTTCAAAAACAAAGTAAATACAGAACTCTGTGTGTGTGTGTGTGTGTGTGTGTGTGTGTGTGTGTGGTTGCAGATTGAACCCAGGATCTTGGACATACTATACTACACACTCACTACCACTTACCTATCACCCTCAACTCCCGTCCCCCAACACACACACATTGTTTTGAGATAAACCTCACTAAGCTGTCTGGGCTAGCCTTGGGCTCACTGCAGGTCAGGCTGACCGCAGACTCCTGCTCCAGCTTCTAGATTGTTTGGTGTGTGCCACTACACCCAAGTTAAATTACCTTTCAGATCTTTCTGAGGCAACATGGTTCTATTAAACCAGTGAGGCCTTTGTATCTCTTCAGTTAGTGAACTAAACAGTGGTCTAGTCTTGAATTGGCTTAGTCTGTCTGGCGGAATAGAAAGCAAGTTTCTCCTAAGGAGACTATTCTTGTAAGTTTTTTTTTCTCCAGTGTGGACTGTTGAGCTCTGTCTCTCACCTCATAAAACAGTTAGTACATTATATACAACAGGGTAGGATGAAAAACTTTCTTGACTGAGCATCACAATAAAAATGAAGTAAAAAATACCACACTAGATACAACTTCTGTGTATGTTTTGGGGGTGGCTAATGATCCTAAGAGCATGCTGGAGGCTTAAGAGTCCCTGATCGTGATCGTGATCATAGTGGGAAGCAGACAGGCAAGGTGCTGGGGCTACTAGTAGCTGAGCTTTACCTCCTGAGCCACAGGCTGCAGACAGACACTGGGCCTGGCATGGACCACCCCCACTGACACACCTCCTAATCCTTCCCCAGCAGCTTCACTCCCGGGTGACAAGCATTTAAATGTGTGAGCCTGGGGGGGGGGGGGCAGCATTCGCCTTCAAACTGCAGTCGGTTTGATTTGATTTAGTCCTTCTGAAACATTACAAAAGATTTGTCATGAATGCTGTCTCCGCCAGCCTGAAGTGGCCTTGCTGGAGGGGCTTCGGATGGTCTGGAGGGACACAGCTCTGGGCTGGGGCCATAGTTTGTGTGGTTAAACTCTACTGCTCAGCGACCATGGACTTGGAACCAAAGGTCAACCTTCTTAAACCTGGATTTTCATTTGTATGACTAGGAAACTGCTGTCACCTAAGTGGGATAAAGGAACTGTAAGAAAACATCTTGCTTTATTCTTGGTCAGGTAAGTGTGTTTAATCATCTTAAGAAAGCCAAGAGGGAGGGTTCAGTCATGGAAGTAAATGGTGTCATTCATTTCCGCTTCTCAAGTATAATCTCGTCAAAGCGTGCATCTGAGAACGTCGTGACCACCTCCAAACCACTTGCCAGACAGTGTATGTTACTTTGCTCTGTATCATCCAAGAAGCAAGGAACTGTCTTGCAGGTAGCGAATCTGGAATTAACCAACCCAAGCCCTATCTGGGAGATGTCATTCTATTCTTCTGCTGTGTCCATCTCCAGAACTCACTGTGGCCCATGCAGCCTCGGTTACTCACCTGTCATGATGTCACACACAGTACAGAGTATCACCTATTGCAGGTGCCCTGTTCTGTTTGTGGACTGGCAGCCTGGCTCAGAGCGCCAAAGAAAGGCACTGCCGAGAAGCCAGTTTAGGACCTAAGAAGTTGGTGACACATTCTCCGGCTTTTAATTGGCTATGTTCACAGAAATGAGAAACACTTTTCTTTAATCTGGGGAGTTTGCCTTTTATAGAATCTGAAATTCAGTCATATTTTAATGGCTCTTGTTAACGCTGTGCTGTGTGGAGTGACTGTAACCCCTTGAACATGCTAGGCTCTTCATGAGCTGTTCCAGCCTCAAAGCGCTAACTTAAATCTCTGCTTGGCCTCGTAGAGGATGACAGTAAGATGGATTGTGTGTGTGTTTCCCTCCCCTTTTTGTAAGATTTTTTATTTTAGATGGGGGAGAGTTTTGTCTGCAAGAGCAGAGGGTATCAGACCCCCTAGACCTGGAGTTCTGAACAGCTGTAGCCACTGCACCTGGAGCATCTACAAGATCAAGTGTAGCCTTTAACCGGTGGTCCCGGGAGTTTGTGGCATCAGACTCTTCCTCTGTAGAGCGGGCTGGCCTCTAACTCACAGAGACCTGTCTGCCTCTGCTTCCCAAGCTGGGGTAAAAGGTGTGGGCTACCGCACCTGGCCTTTTACTTTGAAACAAAACAAAACAAAGTAACAGCTTTATAATGCTATGACTTGTTTTGTCTTTGGTGCTTATTCAAGGTTCTGTCTGGGAGAGACAGGAAAGGCCCAGGGCCTAACTAAAGGCAGGGCAGTCATTGTATACTGAGGGGAGGTAGAGTTGAGGAGCGCGCCACAGGTCCTAGCATGTGGGAACTGAAGGCTGGCAGCCAAGCACACATGCCTTGGGGACAGTGAAGGATGCAAGATGACTCTCACCTATTTGCATTTCAACCTTTCTAGGTCATGGAAAAGAGTAGCAAAAGAAAGACCACTCTGGTGTGCCCAGCTAATGGAAGTTTCAAATGTACAATACAAAAATAAAATACTTCAAAACCTTACCAGTTAATATCAGGCAGACCTTTTACTTTTGACTTTATTCACTGTGGCTAGTAGCTTGTTTACACCAGCGGGTGAAGAAGGGTGTGGTGTTAAATTCTGGAGACAAGGCTGGGTATGGCTCAGTGTACACCCATGGCGTATAAATTCTGAGTTCCATCCTCACTCGGCACCAGAAAAAAGGCCATGGTGAGTTTTCATTGTGCTCTGTAGCCTTTTAAATGGTACATAGGAGATTTTCTCTCTAGTTTTTTATACCAAGCGTCAAGGCTATTTCATTGCTCAAAGTGCAATCCTGCCAAAAACTCTGGAAGTCAGAAATAACTCAATTTTGGCTCTTTTTTTTTTTTTTTTTTTCAAGACAGGGTTTCTCTTTGTAGCTCTGGCTGTCCTGGGCTCAATTTGTAAGTCAGGCTGGCTTCAAACTCACAGAGATCCTCCTGCCTCTGCCTCCCTGAGTGCTGGGTGTGTGCCAAATTGAAAAGGTTTGTTTGTTTGTCATATGTTTTGATCAGTTTTCACTTTCTGGTCTTTTAACTTTTCATTTTTGTGTTTTGGGGTTCTTTGTTCATTCTCATCTTCAACAAATTAAGCTAAACACTATGACTAACATTTCACAGGGTATTTCTAGACTCACATTTTGATATCCGAGTCTCTTCTCTTCATTAGATTTTTCTCTCGTGGGTTTGTCTCACAAGTAAATTGTGTTTTTGTTTTAAGGGTTTGTGTCTGTCACGTGGCAGGGGGTTGAGGCCAGAGGACAACATGGTGTGTCTGCCTCTCTCACTCATCTAAGATTTGTATTTTATTTCAAACCATGTGTCTGTGGTATGCATGTGTAAGTGCAGATGCCCACAGATGACAGAAGGGGGTGTCAGAGCTCCCTGTAGCCAGAATTATTAGAGGCAGTTGTGAGCCACTTGATGTGAATGCTGGGAGCCAACCTCAAACAGAACTTAGGTTTTTCTCTAAGAACAGCCAGTTAAACTTGACCCTGGCCCCCATTTTGAGATGGTGTCTGCTGAACCTAGAGCTCGCTGCCTGGGCTGGTAGCCAGTGAGTCCCGGGATTTGCTTGTCTCTGTGTCCAGATGCTGAGGGAAAGGCAGGTCCTTAGGTTTGCAAGTGCTTTACTTTGCTCACTGAGGCCAGCTAGCCCTTGCATTCTTTGACTGTAGTCCAGAAGACTCGAGTTTTTAAACAGGAAAACAGTTGGATTTGGGGTGAGCACTTCAGAAAACGCATTGCTTTATGCCATCTATAATGTTTATTAAAAGAAGTTCAGAGAGCGCGTGCACATTAAACTAACTCTGTCCTAATGCTGTAAGCCCTGTATATTTCTAGATGTATAAGACAGGGACTATGAAGTAAATATCCAAAACGACAGGTGATGTGACGTGAATGAATATTCAGACTGTAAATCTGTATTTCCTTTCAATGTGAAGGAAATATACATTTTTTGAAGTACAATTTGTTTCTAATGATATTAGGGCTGTATTGTACAATTTAAAAATCTCAGAAAATACAAATTACACCATCGGATTGTCTGACCTGACGTTTATGCGTCTCTTGAGACGGCAAGTGTGGCTCTGCTGGGCCCTTGCTAACTTTCTGTCAAGTCTTATTTGGGATAAAATTAAGTAGAATATAGATGCCTCCCCCGTTCCACAGGAAAGCCATTTGATGAAGCCTTCCAAGTCCTCCCTTGCCGGGATGATGCAGGCCTCCCCAGCAGCTCTGTGGTGAGTGCTCGCTGCTCTGCCTTTCCGTGCCTGTCTCACCAGTGCTGGGGTCCTTCTCAACCACCAAATTACTGAGCCTCAAATTACTTAACCACGAGAAAATAATGTAAATAACTGTCATTGAATGATTAAATGGAATTGTTTGACTTGAAGTTACAACTAGACTTGGTAAGGCAGCTGTTGTGGCTTCCTGGTCAAATAGGAGATAAACCATACACTGAATTGAAGGGTAACCAATAACTGAGTAGTAATAATTGTACATGTGTTGATTCGTGCTGACTTTGGTCTGGGAAAATGGAAGGTACTGGCTCTGCGTTTTATAGTCATGCCTTGCCTGGAGAGAGCACTGATTTCCTACTCACCGAGCTATCTGTTTATACTGTGAACTCACTCACTGGGAAGGATTCTCTGGCAAAGAAAAATGGCACAGACTCAAGATGAGAATTATCATTTCTTGAGCATGGTGGCAGTGGTTGCTGCGGGCACTGGGCTTAGACTGTGATTCATAATCATAATCTTGGTGATTAATCTTGGCAGAACATTGACAGTATTGTATTCTGGATATTCTCACTGAACGAAAGGAAAGTGCTTTTGAAGAGAAAGTAGTTCATTAAGATTACATATAGTAACATTGCAAAATGGTATTTAGGAACTAGTTTGTTGTCGACCCTCCGGAGTCTGCAGCCTTGCACCATGGCCTGATCCTGGCTTTGTGGAGAACCTGGGCCAGGGCAGGCTGCTCGGAGCCCGGGAGGTGGACGGCACTCTGCCTACTCTGGTTTATGCCTTTAAAAAAGCTCTATATACCTTGACTTGGACAGTACACGTAATTCCAGTCTGAACCAACCTGCTTGTGACTAGATGCCCATAAAACCCACAGTAAACAACTTCAATAAATGTCCGCTGGGCAGCCGTAACGACCCAGGTGACAGAACACTTGGAAAACTACCCCACATTAAAGCGTGGACAAGAACAGGGAGTGGGCGAGTGGCAGATCTGTGAGCCATGACTTCGCCAGCTTGCCTAACTACCCTGAATAGCCTTCCCTCCAAAGCTTAGATTGCAGACTGTCAGCCAACAGTCTGCTGACAGTGTCTGTCGGAAAGCCTTCTGGATGATGAGGTGAGAATACAGGTATGTAAAGATGAGCTTTACATGTAACTGTCTTGCTCGTTCCCATACAGGTTTCTGGAGCTTTCAGGACGGTTGCTGCCCAGGTAGGCAGTGTTCTCCCTCACTGTTCTTCACAGGAAGACTGTCACTGCAGCAGTTTGTGAAGCAGGCCTGTGGATTCTTCCTGTAGAGGGTGGGCTTTACATCCCACTGTTTTCCCATGAAGAGTTAGTAATGGAACTAGGTGTGTCTACATTTATCAGTGAAAGGTAACATTGCATTTAGTTTCCAGATACAGAAAAGCACGTGCACGGTTCTCTAAGTTCAGCAAAGAGGACTGAGTTCTCTGATCTTGTTCTACATTGTAATCAGGAAGAAAGCTTTCTAGTTCTGCTGCTGTTCCCCACAACAGAAAATACCCGCCACTATCAAAAACCCACACTATAGCCACTATATATCTTGCTCTTTACCCCCTTACAGCAAAGTAACCTAAGTAATAAAACACCTTCCAAAGAAATACACCATGTTCCTGTGATTCAGAGATAAGTTTGGTTTCTCAGTATTGCAGACTCGGGAGTTTTTAAAAATTTCCGCATATGATCAACAGCTTGCAAATCCAGCATAATAAATACAACAGCCTGCTCAGAGGCCCCAACCCTCTGACAGCGCTGGCTGGCAGACACTGTTTTGAACACACGCTTCTGTGTGTGGTCGCAGTGGGAACTCCTCTCCAGAAAGGCAAACATTGCACAGTTGATGCCTCAAGACCCCTGAACCTGTGACGTCAGTTGGTGTGACGTCAGGCGTTCAGAAGCTCCTCGTCTGAGTGTCCAATAGCATCTGGGTTGGAGAGTGGATCCAAGTCTGCAAATAGATTGAACCAGGCTGACATCTCTTGGTTACCAATGTTGGGGGCTATTAAAAAAAAAGATATTAAAGAGTTTCAGCTTTTGGAAATAATATTTTTGTACTATTATGATTTTGAAGCAGATGCTTATTAATAAAAGCACAATTAATCAGGTGCAGTGGTGCACACCTGTAATCCCAGCACACAGGAAGGCAGAGGCAGGTGAAGCTCTGTGAGTTCAAGCCAGCCTGGTCTACAAAGTGAGTCCAGGATGGCCACGGCTACACAGAGAAACCCTGTCCCAGAACAAACAAACAATACACTTGGCTGATAATGATTCATTATATCCCCTTAAGAGTATTTTAAAAAGCAAATGCAGTTCTTCCCAAGAAAACAAACTCTCCTTAAAATAGTTAAAAATATTGTTAAAAAATTGATATTTGAAAAATATTAGTCATAAAGGGGGAGATTGACTTCTATCATTGTACACATCTGACAGTGTCTGTAGTTTTGTCTTTTTAGGCAGGGTCTCGCTGTGTAGCTCAGGCTGGCTGCAGACTTGTGGCCCTGCCCCATGCTCCTAAGTTTTGGGTTACAGATATACTATCCACCATCATGCCCAATGCTTGTCAAAACACTTGCTAACAAGGACTGGGGAGATGGCTCAGCAGGCGAGTGCAGGTTTGATCCTCAGGGCACACATGGAAGGAAAAAAACACACATTCTTTCCCTCTCTAAAGGTAATTAAGGTAATTCAACAAAAAGCTGAAACATTTTGATAACAACATTGTATGTCAAACCTAAGTTCCTTTTTTTTCCTCTATGCACTTATAATTTATTCGTTACTATTTCAAATATACAAATGGCTGATTATATCACAGTATGTATTATAAAATTGGTCATTGAGTATTTTTTTAACTTTTATTAGTTACACTTTATTCACTTTGTATCCCCCCATAAACCCCTCCCTCCTCCCCTCCTAATTCCACCCTCCCTCCCCTTTCTTCACACATGCCCCTCCCCAAGTCCACTGATAGGGGAGGTCCCCCTCTCCTTCCTTCTGATCTTAGTCTATCAGATCTCATCAGGAGTGGCTGCATTGTCATCTTCAGTGGCCTGGTAAGGCTGCTCCCCCCTGAGGGGGAGGTGATCAAAGAGCAGGTCAGTCAGATTGTGTCAGAGGCAGTCCCTGTTCCTATTACTATGGAACCCACTTGGACACTGAACTGCCATGGGCTACATCTGTGCAGGGGTTCTAGGTTATCTCCATGCCTGGTACTTGGTTGGAGTAGAGTCTCTGGGAAGACCCCTGTGCTCAGATTTTCTGGTTCTGTTACTCCTTGTGGGGTTCCTGTCCCCTCCAGATCTTACTATCTCCCATTTCTTTCCTAAGCTTCCTGCATCCTAAGTTCCTTTTTAGGACTTCGGCACCCTCACGCTGATCACAGAGCCGAGCCCTACTTTTAAGACAGGAAGGTGTGCACACCTGCATGCATGTCTGTGTCACATGTGCCTGTGGAGGCCAGAATGTCACATCCCTGGAACTAGTTAGACAGTTGGGAGCTGCCACGTGGGTGCTGGGAACCTGTGTGTTCTGGACAAGCAGCCAGTGCTCTTAGCCACTGGATCACCTCTCTCGTTCCTCAACCTACCTTATTATCAATGTTTCAGTCCCTCTTGTTTCCCTCCTTGAATGGAGTTTTTAATGTCAGTAGCCTGCACGTTTTACTCTAACAGATAGTCAAGGACACATGCTTACACTGAGGGTTAGGACCAAGGTCACACAGTGGGTCATTTCATAAGGCTAGAAATCCACTGTCTTAGGGTTACTTTGCTGCAATGAAACACCATGACCAAAAGCAACTTGGGGAGGAAAGGGTTCATTTGGCTTACTCTTCCACATTGTAGTCCATCACTGAAGGAAGTCAGGACAGGAACCTAAACAATGCAGGAACCTGGAGGCAGGAGCTGAGGCAGAGGCCATGGGGGGTGCTGCCTACTGGCTTGCTTCCCAAGCTTGCTCAGCCCACGTTCTCATAGGGCCCATAACCATCAGCCCAGGGATAGTTCCACTCACAGTGGTCTGGCCCCTCCCCATCAATCACTAATTAAGAAAATGCCTGACAGCCAGATCTGATGGGAACATTTTCTCAGTTGAGGTTCCCTTCTCTCTGATGACTCTAGCTTTTGTGTCAAGTTGACATAAAACCAGCCAGCACATCCCTGAAGGCCAAGAAGTCTCGACACCAGGGCAGAGGCCTCTAGGACAACCCAAGAATTGGATATGAGCTGGCTCCCAGAGAAATGTAGTTCAACTCAGAACAGAGTCAAGGAACCCTCTTTTTACCCAGGTCATGGTTAATACCGGCTACAGATGAGAGGGGCTGCAGCTGCCCAGCAGTATCTGAGGCCCCGTGCATCAGAGCAGAGCCCAGGTCTTCATGGAGTTTGGGTCCAGCTCCAGTGCTGGGAACCGAGGTCATGTCAGCTCTACCCATTAAGGGTAGCTTTGCTTCCTGGTGTCCTACCTCCAATGAGCAGTGCTTGGCAAGTCTCCTTCAGGGGCTCTTGTTTCCTGTCAGAGAGGTTGACGCCAACCATGCCAAAGCTGGTGATCCTGATGAGCACCTATGGTGGCATCATCCTGGTCGCTCAGCCTCACCCCCAAGAAGCTGAGCTGTTAGCAGCAATATTGTGGTGAGTCATTTGTTTCTATTCTGGTTAATATCCAGATGCATTTGTCATCTAGAACTCCTATCTAGTTAGGAATGGAATTGCTTAATGATAAATTCATGTATGTTCAGTTAAAGCAAAAACTTTTTAATAATAGTAATACATTTAATTTTCTACAAGCAGTAAGGCTCTTTTCCTGCCATATTCTTGAGTACATAGGATTTTCTTATTTTAGCCAGAATGTTATGTTTTTAATGTGTTTTGTTGAGGCTGAGTTGTTGAGGTTCTGTCAGTTTTGTATTATTTTAACAATATTATGGATTGAACCCACACCTTGCACATGCTAGAGACGTACGCACTCTACTTCTGAGCTGAATTAGTTTGCATTTAATGATTAATGAAATGACACACTTAATGAGTTAATTTCTAAGTTATCAAATTGTCCCGTATTTATACCCAGAGCTGACATCTACCTTTTTTTTTCTTCTCTTTCTTTCCCAACAAAGCAAATCAGCTTCAGGCATGTAGGTAAACAGTGTCTTTCTCAGGACCTCTGCTTGTTGTTTGGTGGTGCTGGTTTTGTGTGGGACTGAGCTCACCATGTGGACTAGGCTACTCCTGAACTCACAAAGTTCCACCTGGCTCTGCCTCCCAAGAGCTGGACTAAAGGCTAATACCACCACGCCTGACATTACCTTTGTTTCCTGTGTTCTATAAAGTGTGACTATTTGCCAGAGGATGTTCTGTGCACTGTGTATTCAAATGATGGTTTCTGTATCCAAAAATCTGCGTGCGGTCCAGACTCCAGCACTTCATTATTTTCAAGCATCTCCTGTCTTGGTATATTGTAAATATTGTTCTCCATCACCTTGTGATTGGTTAAATAAGGAGGTGAACAGCCAACAGCTGGTCAGGAGAGGATAAGGCGGGACTTCCAAGCCCAAGGAGAGGGTTTCAGGTGGAGACCAGAGGGAGAAGCCGAAGTCATCACCAGGAGGAAGGAGCAGTCAGGGTGAGACTAAGATCTCAGGTAATGGGGCCACATGGCTGGGACGTAGGCCAGGCCAGTATGGTCAGGTTATAACAGCTGAATATCTGTCCAGCTTTAGTGCCTGAAACATCTAATATTAAAGGCTATCTGTGTCATTATTCAGCAACGGCAGGCAGAGAAGAAAACCCTGCATTTTATGGTTGGCACCCAATGTGGGCCACAGAATCCAAACTTAGACATGAGATTGAAGCATTAGCCCAGAAATTCTGGACACAGGCAGAACACAAAGCCAGACAGTGGCACGCTAGTTGGATAGGGGGCTTGTCCCTTTAAGAGTCAGCAGGGCATGGCAGTTCACTTTCTCCCAAGTGCAGCATGGCTGGCTGGACCCCTGACCAACCTGGCATAGGGCTGGAACTGCCAGCCTGTACCGCAGGCAAACCAGGTCTGTGAGCAGCCAGTGGCCGCAGCTCTGAATGGCTGAAGTCCAGCTAGGCCTGGCTGGCCACAGCAGCCAGTGCAGGCTGGCCACAGCAAGGCTGAGGGTGGGAGGCCGCTCCTCTGGAGCCCCTGCTGAGCAGCGAAGCCAAGTAGAAAGCCGGAAAGCAGAAGAGGCCTAATGCAGAAGACTGTTTTCTACTGGAGCCTCAGGAACTCCCCAAGGCTGTGAAGTTGACAGAGGGGGTGCCCCGCTGAGTCTGTCTTTCTGGCCCTGTGCTGCAGCCCATAGGAAAAAAAGCTTCCCAGAGACCACATTCCTAGCCCAACTCAGGTCTGGGTAGGAAAAGCCTGCAGCCTGTGCTATGTGCTAGCAGAGCCATCTTCACTACAGACTCCTGGAGGTGGCAGGAGAAAAGCTGAAGAGTCATCAGACTTGGTATGATACTTAGGAAGTCTTTAAAGAGCGTTAGGTAAAATAAAAAAGAATAAAAAGTAAAAATGCAGAATGCAATGATGGCATTTTATATACCAATCAGCATGGAAATAATTATATTTTCAGTAATGATTACAATTTTTTGTTTGTTTGTTTGTTTGTTTTAAAACAGGCTTTAGCTGTTTAGGGTTTAGCCCTGGCTGTCTGGAATTTACTCTGTAAACCAGGCTGGCCTCGATCTCAAAGAGATTTGCCTGCCTCTGCCTCCCTGAGTGCTGGGATTAAAGACATGCACCACCACTGCCCAGCTATGATTACAATTTTATATATCCTTTTTAAGAGGGATAAGGAGAAATCAGACTTAGACATAAAAGGGATAAAAAAAAAATCCATGCTAAATTATGAATAGAACAAAAATTTGACAATTCTTTGAATTATGAAGATTTTTTTAGATGAATCCAATCTAGAGCCTACAGTGACACCTTGTGATGGCATTGCAAAATGGCAGTCTAAATCTAAATCTGTTAAAC